TCATAAACCTTGTTCTTGACTACACCCCAAAAAAACAAATAATAGAGTAACTGTAGCCCTACTTTTGGCCCACCCTGTACATATATATATATAACCTTCAAAATTGTACTACACGTGTATGACGTAGGACGTATTTAATTAAACCACTATACCTTCGTTCACATAATCATTGCACTGACACTCTTCTGAACTAGTTTATCAAACTGATTCTACGTCCATAACATTTACAAGATATTTGAAAAGATGCATTCACGGTAAGGCTTAAACAGGTATGAAGGATTAAGGATGTTGGTTACTGTGTTACATTTGCATTGTATTTAATGTTTAAACGCTCCTTCCCAAATGTATTGAGAAAAACAAAAAATAATTTTGCTGATCGCTCTCTTTGTGTAAAAGATCTACAGTTAAAAACCAGAGGGAATCATCAATAGCCGCGGCACTTGAAATTCTTTTAGGTAGAATTAGGGTAAATTAATCTATGAGATCTTTTTTCTTCTCCTTTTTATTTCCTACTAGCTGGAGTAGCCATCCGTTGGACTGGTGTAATAACGGCCCGGCGTGGCCAGGTGGTTAGGGCGCTCGACTCGTAATCTGCGGGTCGCGGGTTCGAATCCCCGTCTCACCAAACATGCTCGCCTTTTCAGCCGTGGGGGGCGTTATAATGTGACGGTCAATCCCACTATTCGTTGGTAAAATAGCCCAAGAGTTGGCGGTGGGTGGTGATTACTAGCTGCCTTCCCTCTAGTCTTACACTGCTAAATTAGGGACGGCTAGCGCAGATAGCCCTCGTGTAGCTTTGCGCGAAATTCATAATAAACCAAACCAAACTGGTGTAATAAAAACTCGTGCTTTTATCTATTTTTCTTAACATAATAAACATTAAAAGTGCAATAAAAATACAAAAAGATATCAATAGTGAACATAAAGACGTACTGTTTTCAAGCGTTCTATGAATATGAATTAGATGGGGGATCCACCCCACTCATGACCTTCCTCATGTCATCCTTTATCACTGTGTCAAGTTTGATGCTCATTGATAAAGAAATGTGGAAACAATTAAGGAACAGATGCACACACACACACACACATGTTGACGTTGATTTATATAGATATGATGAGGGTCCAACCCCCCTCATGACCTTCCTCATGTCACCCCTGGGAAGTCAAACCCCCACCTACTGTGAAAAAAAAAATGTTTTACAAAGATTTCATATACACTAAGAATGTGACGTCACAGTATTAAACCTGAGTATGCTGATTCCATATCTTTATAGGCCTACTATTATAGGGGCTGAAAGGTGCACACAAACAGACAAAAGTTGGCTTTATGTATTAGATGTTTTGGGGCGCTAGAAATACCAAATATGGGGCGTGCGTATACACGATTTAATTTTATTACTCATCAGAATCTCTACCAGCCTACCCCCAAATTTAAATTATTTTAGGCAGGATTAGAGTTAATTTATGTATGAGACCTTGGGCGTGGTAAAATACACCAATCGAATGGGTTTAATCTCCTGAATCCTAAGCTGTAATTCGATCTCACATCCGCTAAGAAATAACGGAGCTACGAACTAAAAGTTTGTACTTGATTAAAAACAAAAAACTCAGAGCTATTCTATGAGCCGCTATGCCACGTCTAAAATGTTACGAGGCACAGATTAAGACTGTAAACTCAATCATGACGCACAGATTAAGACTATAAACTCAATCATGACGCACAGATTAAGACTGTAAACTCAATCATGACGCACAGATTAAGACTATAAACTCAATCATGACGCACAGATTAAGACTATAAACTCAATCATGACGCACAGATTAAGACTATAAACTCAATCATGACGCACAGAATAAGACTATAGACTCAATCACGACGCACAGATTAAGACTATAAACTCAATCACGACGCACACATTAAGACTATAAACTCAATCATGAAGCACAGGTTAAGACTATAAACTCAATCATGACGCACACATTAAGACTATAAACACAATCATGACTTGATAGGCGATTGTTGCTAACAGCTCTTATTCTTCAATCATTAAACTAAATATTTTTTTTTGTCATTTTGCTAATAAGATCTGTGGCGGCACAGTTGAAGCGAGGAGAGCCAGTCATACCCGAAGCTTTCAACCACGTGACTATTTACTTTAGTGACATAGTCGGTTTTACGTCCATGTCTGCCGAGAGTACGCCAATGCAGGTTAGTATCCTCATCTGATGACATAACTTCTCACCACATACTCACTTCTTTACAAGATTAGCGTTACCCTTCTTAAAATGTAACTAGGTTGGGTAAACACGATTAGGAAGTCTTTTAATCTCATCACTTCTAATTAAGCTAGATCTGAGTGGCATTTTCTACTCTAAAAAAAGAAACGTTTGTTTAAAAATATAACGTCTCCGTATATAAACTTGTTTCATTATAGGTTAAAGACATACACTAAGTTACATTTATAAACTAACTTATACTTGTTACGTCGTATGTTAAAAGAGATATACTGATCTATACGTATAAACTAACTTACGTTTATTTAATGATATATTAAAGGTACATTCTGATTTATACCTATAAACTAACTTACATTTATTTAATGATATATTAAAGGTACATTCTGATCTATACATATAAACTAACTTACATTTATTTAATGATATATTAAAGGCACATTCTGATCTATACCTATAAACTAACTTACATTTATTTAATGATATATTAAAGGTACATTCTGATCTATACATATAAACTAACTTACGTTTATTTAATGATATATTAAAGGTACATTCTGATCTATACATATAAACTAACTTACATTTATTTAATGATATATTAAAGGTACATTCTGATCTATACCTATAAACTAACTTACGTTTATTTAATGATATATTAAAGGCACATTCTGATCTATACCTATAAACTAACTTACATTTATTTAATGATATATTAAAGGTACATTCTGATCTATACGTATAAAATAACTTACACTTGGTTCATGGTTCATTAAAATTAATTGAATCGTATTCCTGTACTCTTTACTTCTCTACCATCCGTACACAAACTTGTATGACGATCGAATGGAACACAAAACATAATAACGTACCATGTCTTATTTTCTGTATTCCCTATCATACTCAACCTTAACATATAGTATATCACGCTTATAAGATTATTTTCACTCAACTTCAAAATTCAAGTTATACGCATTGTTTGTTTCAAATAGGTAAGAATGTCGTTCCAGGCTTAATTGTTTCCCAGCCCATGAGAAAAATCAACAAGAGTACAAACATTTGAAGAACGCTGTCTTTGTGACAAATAACTCACAAAAAACAACAACGTGATACACGATATTAATGATATTTATAAAAAAAAATGCAGGTTATCGTTCAATTAATTACAATATATATGATGATAAAAGTACATAGCAGGTGATACACACACACATACACACTGTATTGGACACAATATGGTGCTATCATTTATCTGCGTATAATACATATATATAAACATGTGCTTCTATTCCATCTTATTGTTGTACATCTCCATAGTGTGTGTGTGTTTACATACATATAAACACAAAATATATAAATGTTTGGTTTTAATGTTTAACAGAAGTATGCTAAAAGTAAATTGTATTGGACACAATATGGTGCTATCATTTATCTGCGTATAATACATATATATAAACATGTGCTTCTATTCCATCTTATTGCTGTACATCTCCATCTTACTTTTAGCATACTTCTGTTAAACATTAATATTTGTTGTGTTTTTATATATATACATACATATGCTTGTGTTTGTTTATAAGAATGTAACGTTTTCGTTCCCCTGCAGGTAGTGTCGTTTCTAAACGACCTGTACACCGTTTTCGACGCCGTTATCAATTATTACGATGTGTACAAGGTGGAGACAATCGGTGATGCCTACATGGTAGTCAGCGGTCTTCCAATTCGAAACGGTGACCAACACGCTGGAGAAATAGCGTCCATGGCACTGGAACTATTAGATTCTATAAAAAGTTTCAAAATTCGACATAAACCAGACCATTTATTGAAACTACGTATTGGTATCCACACAGGTATGTCTTTATTTTAAATGTTGTATGTCCCATGGTTGATATTGGATTATCTATTGTAAGTCTCGTGATTGGAATTGGGTTATCTATTAAATCTTATTATTGGTATTGGGTTATGTATTGTAGATCTTATGACTGGTATTGGATTATCTATTGTAGGCCTTATGACTGGTATTGCACTATCCATTGTAAATCTTATTAGTGGTATTGGATTATCTATTGTAGGTTTTATGACTGGTATTGGATTATCTATTGTAGGTCTTAAGACTGGTATTGGATTATCTATTGTAGGTCTTATGACTGGTATTGGACTATCTATTGTAGGT